TATAAAATAACAGGAGCTAAAATAATAGTAAAAGTAAGTAAATAAATTATTCATTAAAATATAATCAATATTAAAATAATATCTATGTAAAATAAAACAGTGATCAAATGTAATCAATTAAATATACAAATCAAGTAATAAAACCCCAATAAATAAGCTAAAAAGATAAACGTTCTCTGTTGCCCTGAGGTCCTTTGGCAGTCTGTCCCAGAGGTGAGAGCCATAATGCATGGAAAAATGTATCTCCGTGAGTAGAGGCAACGAGGGTTTATATGGTAAAAGCTATTCTGCAAGGTAAGAGTGCCCAAGACCATTTGGACACTTAAAAACAATTTAAAGACCATTAAAATAGATCCTGAAACATATGACAAGCCAATGCAATCATTCTAACACTGGTGTAATGTGCTCCCGCATCCTGGTCTTTGTCAGGCCTTCCTTCTGCCTAGCTACTTGGGCCAGCTCCTCCAGAGAAATCCCAAGGCGTGCTCTGCCCAGCCGAGAGATGCCCGAGCAACCTCGACTAGCTTCTCTCAACATGAAGGAGCAGCGGGTGTACTCTGAGCCCTTCCCAGATGATCGTGCTTCTCACCCTATCTCTAAGGGAGAGCCCAGTCACCCTGCGGAGAAAACTCATTTCGGCCACTTGTATCTGCAGTCTTTTTCTTTCTGTCACTACCCAAAGCTTGGAACAAAGTTGGAACGTAGATGGACTGGTAAACCAAGAGCTTTGCCTTCTGGCTCAGCTCTCTCTTCACCACAACAGATCAATACAATTCCTGCATCACTGCAGACGCCTGTCGATCTCACCCTTTATTTTTCCCACTCGTGAACAAGACCCAGAGATACCTAAAATCCTGCACTTGAGGCAGGACCTCGTCTCTGACATGGAGAAGGCATTTTACCCTATTCCAATTGAAGACCATGTTCTCAGATTTAGAGGAGCTGATTCTCATCCCAGCCGCTTCACACTCGGCTGCAAACCGCTCCAGCAAAAGCTGGAGATCACTTTCTGATGAAGCCAACAGGACCACATCATCTGCAACAAGCAGAGACTCAATCCTTAGGCCACCAAAATAGATCCCCTCAACACCTTGGCTGCACCTAGAAATCTTGTCCATAGAAGTTATGAACAGAATTGGTGATCAAGGGCAGCCTTGGCAGAGCCCAACTCTCACTAGAACAAGTTCAACGTACTGCCTCCAATGCGGACCAAGCTCTGACACCAGTCATAGAAGGACCTAACAGCCTATATAACCTGCAGCCTTCCGATTACTGAACAACCCGTTCAACCTCTTGAGCTACTGCTGCTCCCTTAGAGGGAGGCTACCCTCTCGTTCACTGGGGTAAACCCCAACTTACAGGCACCAAGATGGGGGACAACCACCCCTGCTCAGCGCCCCTCATTGGGAGCAACTCCAGAGTAAACTGGTTCCAGAGCCATGCGTTGAGATGAGTTCAACTTTATCTAGCCGGAACCTCTCAACCTCCCACACCAACTCCGGGACTTTCTCCGCAGAGAGTTGACATTCTAATCCAGAGCTAGCTTTTGTAGCTGAGGATCAGACCACCAAGGTCCCTGCCTTCAGCTACCACCCGACACACAGCGCACCCAACCCCTTTGGCCCCTCCCACGAGTGGTGAGCCCATGGGAAGGGGGAAATAGACTTTGGTGAGAATTATTAATGAAAAAGGACACATTTGTGAATATGATACACAGAACTTGACAGCAAACAAGTAAAAATATTACACAATGTGGCTTTAAGAGTAAATTATGTCCTGCAAATTAGCACAAATGTTGCATTTTTTATTTATTTATTTTTCACCATTTCATCATATGCAACAAGCCAGTTGTAAAAATTCTGAGGAAATGTCGTACATCTTAAAGTCTCTTTCTGGAATATTTCTCTTATACGATGGTACCACCTAGTGGCTGACAAGCATATCACACAAATATTTTCTCTGTCATATATTTATATTTTAGAGACATACATGTCGGTGAAAAGTTAATCAACTCTGCATCAGCTGAGGTACTCCTTAAATTTGAAGCATGTATGCGGTAGTCTAACACTATTGGATAGTTTTGGTCGGCGCTCAGTTTCCTATTGCATGGAGCAGGGGGCGAGCTTAGCAAATAAATAAATAAATAAATAAAAGACGTATTGCTTACATTATATCACAGTGCATGATGAGACAATCACTTTTACAGAGTTCTGAAAAGTCATACACAAGTTCTGATAGAGGACAACAATGGAAATTTTATTTCAGAATTATTCCAAAACTAATTTTATTTTTATTTTTTTGGACTTTAGTCTTTCTAACCGTTTGCCAACAGTCCCAGCCCGATTGGATACCAGTTCAAAAATTTTCAGAAGTATACACAAAATGTCTGCTGAATTAGCAAGTGAATCATATATTTTTAAAATGGTTTTGCTTTCTGGAATATTTCTTTTAAGTAAAGCAAAAAATAAAGTGAAGCAGCCACTTGTATAAAAGCTGGAGGCCTGTTTGTTTTTGTTTTCTTTTAGAGGTTTTGCTGTTGTTGTGACATTACCAGTCACACATCACTAAAATGTCGCCATTCTCCCTTAATTACTGAATTCAGACTTCACTTTGCATTTATTATACTAGCATGTCATGTTATGCCAACATAATGACTTTCGTCTATATATCTAAGAAAGAAACAACAATTGTATCTCTTCATAACGTGAGTATATATATATTTTTAGGGGTGAGACTCGATAAAAATAAATTAATTTAATTAATTAGAGACTTTGTAATTAATTAATCTTTAATAACTGCATTTTAATCATTCAGAAAATGTGCCCTCAAAGCAATTTTTGAATGCAAAATAATGAGACAGAGACTCAAACATTAGACATGTTTATTATTATTGTAAGCAAAAGCATTTTCATTTCTAAAAAAATGCATTTAATTATTCAAATGTCACTTTGTGATATGAAACAAGACCCAAATCAACAAAAGTGTATAATTGCAAATAGAAAACACCTGCAAAGGGTCCTGAGCCTTTAAAATGTGTCAGTTGAATTACTGAAATAAATGGACTTTGCACCAGATTCAAATTTTTCCAGTTTCACTTGTTTGTATGATTGGGTGTTTTTATTAGCATTTCTATTACTCGTAATGTAATAAAAACAAATATGTAAATAAAAATTCTTTACAAATGACAGTAGAACAGGCACAAATATGATCTAGGACGTCAATGTACTAACTTTTAACCGATAACCAATATTTTCCGATACCGATGTACTGACATTAATGCTTCTAAAATAAGCAGATTTTGTTTAGAATGAAAATTATTAAAGCTGAATATATGTTTTTCTGTACACAAATCACATACATTTACACTTCTATGATTACAATCGCTGTCACATGACTAAACAAATTCTCATCACCCCCCTCACCCTCTGAAACAGTTAAACAAATGGAAAAAAATATCGGTTGTTAATATCGGCCCGGTTTTAATTATCGGACCGCTACAGATATGTTAAAAAATGACTAACATCGGCCGATACCGATATTGATGCCGGTGTGTTGTCCATCCCTTATAAAATATAGCTTACCTCGACTTTTGTAAAGTTTCTGGTCCCACCGGGCAGCAGCAGCAGAGATGATCTCTGAAAAATGTCCGCGACATGGACTCCGCAGTTTTCTGGAAGTTTTTTTTTTTTACAAGTTAAGAGAAGAGGCTGATGTGTTCCCCAAATACTGCATCAGTCCAAGCATGGCAATTTATTCTAATTATTCTGTTTTAGCAGCCATTAACAGAGCACAGTGCATTGTTGTGTGCGTCAGTGATTTTCGGTCTACAAGGAAATCATGCAATGACAAAGGTTCCGCCTTGCTTAAAATGCAAGTTGTGATTAAATGCGTGAATATTTTTACCGCGTCATATTGTTCTAATTAATTAATCATAATTAACGCGTTAAAGTCCCACCCCTAATTTTTATACCATCATCCACCTGGCTATATTTATCGTATTAAGTATTAGAGTTCTGAAATATCTGTTAATTCCAGTCTGTCACGATCAAACTGTAAAAGCCAATATTTTAAACTCATTGGAGCATTGTGCGGGTTTCAAGACAGAAAACAAACATTTGTTAGATATTTGACTACTGATAAAGTTGTTGAAACATGTTTTTGAGGGTAGTAACATTCTCCATCTACTTTTGTATGTTTAATATGAAGATACAGACAATGAACTTCGGCTGATGCAGTGATTTGTTTGTGCTGCCTTGTGTTTTCTGTGTGCGTGTGTGTGTGTTCAGGTAAATCTTTGCATGGCACCTGTTTGTGTGCATTCACTTAATCATTACCTTCATGTGATACAGTGCTACCAACCAATGGCCAAGGTTTGTGAATGGAAGATTTGTTGCAGGGAGACAGATTTGATGGAGATTTAGGAATATTTTCACAGAGAACTAGTTGAAATTCTAGAATGAAGCTTGCTGCACACATCTGTAGTGACTTGCTGATTGTTTGCAGGAAGTAGTAATAGTTGCATAAACCGTGTGATTAGTTTGATTACAGGCATTTGATTGTAAACATTAAAACTCGAGAGAGAAAAAAATGAATTTATAGGGTAGTAAAATAAAATGTTTTTAGATAGTTAATATTGATAAACATAACCGTTATTCAAGAAAATATATTTGCTGTGGGAATAACATATAGTATACATAAATCACATGAGTATCCTACAGAATGTGTTTCTACCAGTAAAATAAACCAATGGCATTTTAATAGATTTCATAAAATCTGGGATCTGAAGAAGTAGATATTTTCTGCAGCACAACCTTTACAAGTCTGTATGTTTTCTTCTTTTTAGCCTGCCATTCAGCTTTTTCTCATTAGATCTGTCTTTGCCTTGGCTTATGTTTCATAGCTCAGCAGAACTGTGTCCTTTGTCATAACATTATGCTCCTCTATCAGTCTCCTCTCCCAGTGTGAGCGTCCGTTTGACCAGAATGTGTCTCTGTGCTCAGGTATGGACATGGAGGAGAAGACCAAGCAGATGAAACTAAAGATGAACAAGTACAAGCAGGGAGCAGGCTCTGACTCCAGACTGGAGCAGGATCACCACAAGGTAATAGCACCTTCACAAAAGGAAAGAGAAGAAAAGAGAAATGAACAATAACAAAAAGTAAAATAAGTAGAATATAAAAAAAGTAAATAGAATGACCCCCCCCCCCTCCCCCCCTTTCAAAAAAACTTTCACTTGTGGTTCTTATTCCTATACATATATGTATCGATACATATATATATATATATATATATATATATATATATATATATATATATATATATATATATATATATATATATATATATATACATATATATCTCTCTTTCTGCAGGTCTTTCTTACCCTCCTCCTCCTGCTGCTCTCAAGTGGCTTCTCACAAAATATTTTAAATTAATTTATCACCAGAAAATTATGTAAAATGTGAGTGCAATTATTGACCAATCTACAAACTCACATTAAATCAATTTTTTATTATTTCAAAGTAGACTAGGCAGTGTGAAATGTCTCCCCAGTCGTCACTAGTGTCTACAGAAGGGATTCATCACTAAATCAAACGTATCAGATGTGTTCATGATCTAAAATATGCAGGAAATGTGCTGGAAGCAGACTGCAGTGCCAGATATGTCAGCTAAACAGCGGCCCACCACTCTGAAGTTGCAAGTGTGATATCCTGGCTACAGAGGGTGGTGGGGTCTCAGTGACTTTCCATTAATCATGTAAAGCAGGGGTGGGGAACCCTGGTCCTCGAGGGCCGGTATCCTGCATGACTTTGCTTCAACACTTCTGATACAGTGGTTGATTCACCTGATCTGCAGCTCATCAAGCTCTGCTAAAGCCTGTTAATCGCCTGCTGATTGAAATCAGGTGTGATGATGCAGGGCTGAAACTAAAATATGCTGGATAGCGGCCCTCGATGGACCAGGGTTCCCCAACCCTGATGTAAAGGGTCATTTTAGCACATACTGGCTCTAGAAAATGATTTTAAAATGTGAAGAAGTTTCATAGTATCCCTTTAAATAGTTTCTAACTATCCAACACGAAATTGAGTGCAACAAAACAAATTTAAAATAACAAAACTAAAGTCTGCATGTAAAATATTTATAAACTTAACTATTTATAGGTAAACAACTTAGAAAAGCTAAGAAAATCACACATTTAAAATTCTTAGAGGCTGCTTGAAACAGAATTTTTGCTTTGCGTATTCCACACTCTTCCTTTGAAGTGTCAGTATTGGTAAAATATGTCCAAATCTGGCTGCATTTCCTGCTTTAACTGATGTCCACACCTTTCCCCCCTTTCTCACCCTCCTCCTCCTGCTGCTCTGTGTTTACACCCTCGGCTCCTTCTCTGATTGGTCACTTCAGAAAGCCAACTGTAAGAGCCATTTCATTAGCAAACGACACATCACTAATTGGCATAATGAACTGAACTTTTTTGGAATGTTAACTTTGTTAAGTGCCTTGAGGCAACTGCTTCATAAACTAAATTTAATTAAATGTTTTGGACACTCAAGTTAACAGAGGGGCAGAGTTGTCAACTGACCAATAGTGGATGGTGAGTTGGCTTCGAGTAGAGGAAGGATGCTGGACAGACCTAGCAGGCCTAAAAGGTTCTGTTAGGAGTTTCTGGCCGACTTTCCTCTCCTGTTAAAAAGAGTTTCAACTTCCACTTCCAGCCGAACATTTAACATGTATCGGGGGAGGCTGGTGAAATGGCCCCTTACACTCACTATTGGACACTCCTATGGAGAAACCTTACATATGCAAGTGTGTGTACACACACACAGGGGCTCACATGGCGCTGTCACAAGGATGGACTTGGGCATTTTCAGCACATCACCTGTGTGGTGGCTGTGGCTTGCACTAAATGCACTTTGTGTTTCTCAGCCAACATTTTCACTTTTATACATCCTCATGTTGTTGGTGCTGTGATATTTTGGTTTTGTATTTTTGTGTGTCCCTTTTCTCTCTCTCTCTCTCTCTCTCTCTCTCTCTCTCTCTCTCTCTCTCTCTCTCTCTCTCTCTCTCTCTCTCTCTCTCTCTCTCTCTTTCTGCAGGTCTAGAAGCAGATTCTTTCTCATTATTTATTGTTTATTTTTGTGACCCCCTGGCCTCTTCCTTCTCTCTCCCCCTTTCTCTTACACTTCTGTCTCTGTGTTCGTTGGTATTTTAAACAACCGAAAATATTTCTAATAAAGTTTTGTATCAGGAGTGGCATTATGACCAGAAGCTTTAACACACCACCTGTGATAATAAAACTGCAAGGCTTGTCTTCAGTATTCAGACATTAATTCTGATTGCTTCACAGCTGGACAGGACAGGGTAAAATAAATAAATAAATAAATAAATAAATAAATAAATAAAAAACCTGGGCATGGGAGGACTTTGGTGAGGCTATAGAAAAGGACTTCCTTACAGCTTTGAGGTAATTCTGGTCCAAGGCTGCTCTATATCTCTGATTATGTTCTGTGGGGCAGCAGTAGCTCAGGAGGTAAATGGTCTGTATTTAATATATAATTAATTAATTAGCACCTTTTAGAACCTTGGGAACCACCCAAGGCGCTTTACAACACAATCAGTCATTCACCTTTTCACACCCTGGTGGTGATGAACAACATTCTAGACATAGCTGCCCTGGGGCACACTGACAGAGTGCATGGCGAGTCTGCCATACACAGGTGCCACCGGTCCCTCCAAACACCACCAGCAGGTAAGGTGTCTTGCCCAAGGACACAACGACAGCGACAATCTGAGTGGGGCTTGAACTTGCAGCCTTCCGATTACGGGGTGAGCACTTAACTCCTGTGCCACCATTGCCCCTAGGTAGAGCGGGTTACTCTATAATAGAAAGGTTGTAGGTTCAATCCCAGCTCTCACCAGAGGATGCTGCTGTTGTGCCCTTGAGTAAGACAGTTAACCCGCCTTGCCTTCTGGTGGTGGTTGGAGGGGGCTGTGGCACCAGTGTTGCTTCGGTGTGCCCCAGGGAGGGTGTAAATAAGCAACAGCCTACATGTGCTGATAGAGAAGCTAATCCGGCACAGCTGAGACTCTTCTAGGATACAGCTGGTGAATTTGTTTGCACCTGTGCGTGACGCATTGAGAGGCTGCTTTCTTGTTTCTTCAATGGTTGTATAATCAATATGAGGCATTTTGTAGGCCTATTCCGACCATTCTCCTGGATGCAACATTCTCGTGCTAAGGAATTATAGTCCAGTTGTCTTTATATTAACCTTTTGGATCACAAAATACTATTTTCTTCTGCTATGGAGCAGCTCAGTGACCTAGTAGTATGAGTGTCTGCCTTAATAAGGCGTGCATGGCAGACTATACACTGCCCGGTCAAGAAAAAGTCGCCACCAAAGTCGCCACCAGAGCTGGAGGTCAGATCACTAGAGACTGCATAGGGAATTTAGGGGACAAACACCTTTAGGAGTGACTTGTTAAAATAATTTAATAAGCACAACTTCAGTTGCAAATAAAAGCTAATTATGTCCAAGAAAAATGGAAGTCCGTGGCAATCGTGTAATCTTTTGAAAAAAAGACACAATTGTGTGCCTGGGTCCCCCTCATGAACCAGGTTTGGAGGTGGGACACATCGGCGATGATCAACTTTGTTGTCATCTCATCTAATCTGCGGCTGCATGTCTTGGACACTTGGGTGAAGAGAGAGGCGGTGTCGGTACAAGATCTGCTCAGGTGCAAGATTGGCTCGGGGTCCGTCGACTGCCAAAGTAGTTGATTGGCTGAACATGAACCTTACGGAATTACGTAATCACGTTACGTTGTTATCACTTTACGTTGGTCCAGGCAAATCTTTCTGTTGGAAAGATGGACAATTTTTACAAAGAAATCCATCATTACCTCTTTGAAAATACACTTTTAGCATAGAGCTGCATGTATATTAGCGCTGAACGATTAACTGCATGTGCAGTTAAATTGCGATGTGACAAAAGGAGATTTTCTAATCGCAAAGGCTGCAATTTGGCAGCGAGTGGTTAGCGCAATGCTAATATACGTGGAAAAACCCATAGGAATGCTAATGCTAATATCACCGATTACATTCTTACAAATTATGAATTAGAAACGTGCCAAATGATTACATTTGGAGTCTAATAGAAAGTAAAACTACCATCAATCAAATAAGTACAGACAGGTATTTTAATAAAGCCAGAAAACTTTTAACTCCAGAGTTTTGGCTAGCAGCTATCAGCGTAACTGAACTACGCATGGACAAGACGTCAAAAACTAAACACAAAATACTTCAATAAACGGGACAGACTTCTTTCCTGCAAATACAATTTCACAGGTGTTGCTAATACCTATGATCCTTCAAGGGATGTGCTCAAAGAGGAGTTCAACATTATGAATACAATATAGTGTTTTATTTTACAAATACCATTATAAACACAAACTTACGTCTTCATAAACATTATTTTAATAACGAAACTGCAAATTTTTTTTCCAACAGTATAGATGTGTAGTGTATTTTGTCCGAGTGGGTTTGCCGTACTTTGACGTCATCGGCAGTCGAAGGACCCCGAGCTGATCTTGCACCCGAGCAGATCTTGTACCGACAGCGGCAATGTCAACTGACCAGTACCTGGTGGTGAGCTGGCTTCAATGGAAGGGGAGGATGCCGGATCCTGATGCCCCAGCGGGAGCAGCCCTGTGTGGCACTAAGCCGGCTGTATCCACAGGAGGGAGGAAGATCTTGGAGGAGCGCAGAGCACATTGCAGTTCCTGCAGATGACCTCGCTAGTCAGATGTCCACAATCTGAAGGCGAGGGGGTGTGTGGGGGGGTGGGGGGTGGGGGGGTAGGACGGGTTTTCACAGCATCTGTCTGCATTCCTTCCTTCGTGGGGGTTGTTGTTAGCAGCTCAAGGCTGCCTTGGCGTCAGATTTGAATAACAAGACTTTGTTTGGGTCAGGCAGAGATAATTTTCCTCTCTGCCTTCAGTCTGTAACTGGTCATTCAAGTCCTTCAGTGAAGCCAATTTAGGTTTTAAACATCTCCACACCGTCCGGTGACCCTCTCCGAGATGACATCCATTTTGCGCACT